GTCTATCACCAACATAGGCCAATCAGCTAACCAGTATTTTCGCCCCTTCCCAAAATTACTTCAACGGAAGGTTTCCAGATGGATATGCGGAGCAGTGTTCGCTACAGTGTTTTTTTACCTGTCTACATGAGCCTGTAGCATCAGTTTGTTCAGATGGAGGCAACTTCTGGCTAGAACTTCTCAGGATGTTTAGTCGTCCTTTAAGCTGTGGACTCTTTAGGGTCGGTCTTATTGTAATGAGGCATCATTCATGTCGATTTAGTTTCCCAAGACAAACTCTTCAATGAGCACCTGGTGTCGGCCAGCGGTAACCCCGCCCTGGTGATGAGGAGAAAGAAGCACACAGAGAAAGAGGTCCACGCTCATCTGATCAGTGCGGTGTCCGTGAGGCTGAGGGAAGGCTACACCGTCAGAGACATCAGCCTCACCAAAGGTAAAGCTCTGCCCTCAGGAGAGACCCTGAAAGAGAAGTCAGAGTCCATCATGTCTTCTTTTCTTTAGGTGGAACCCAGCTGGAGGTGAAGCTGGCTTTGCTGTGGAAACACAACATGCATATAGAGTACCTAGCAGCCGCCACCTGGCCATTGGACCCATCCAACAGGAGCACTAAGGTGGAGGTAACCATGGAAGGCAGCTACGACATCCTGCACGATATCAGCTGCACGCAGCGGAAGCCCATCACCAGCCCGTACCGCACCTCTGTCATCCGCCGCTTCTGGAACACGCTTCAGAGGTACGTTTCAACTGAGACAGCCTCAGCACTGCGGGGGAATGTCTTAGGCAGGGACGTAACGTGTCCATGTGTGTCATTCTCAGCATCAACCAAACTGACCAGATGTTGGTGCATCTGCAGTCCTTCAATTCCATCCCGGAGAATTACACCATTCCAGAGAGCACCAAAAATGGAGTCCCTCTGTTCTACATCCCTCCTGGCTCCACCACCCCGGTAGGGAGCTCGCCGTATCCCCTCAGGACTCGTTGCCTCGCTTTCCCTAATCTGATAGTGTTCATGATAACCTTCTGCTTCATATAATGACCAGATGCTGAGGCCCCTGGAACCAGGACAGCGGCCATTTTTAGTGACTGTAGGGCCTTTTAGTAGTTCTTAAAATATGCCCATCATAAAAAAAGACCAACTTCTTTCTAGACTAAATAAATAGACTTGTGTTCAGACAGAGAGGCTGATGGTTCGCCCAAGCATTACCGTCACATATCTGACTCAATAACCATTAAAACAACTACATTCATTCATTTCAGACCGAACTATTCACAGACTTGGATTATATTAAACTCCGTTTCCCTTTCTCTTTTGAGAACGGTTACAATAAACTAAAAGCGAACAGAGTAAAGTATTGTAGTATTAGCATGCAGTAGCATTAGCTTCCTGCCACCTGTCCACTGGCTGTCGCTCCAGCATCCGCTTCACGGTGACTGGATGTGACCTAGAGGGAAGAACCACAGGGGACTCGTTCATTCAAAAACAGGTTCTGACACCTGGTTCTGGACAGAAAGAAGTACCTTTGGAACCAACCGTCATCCAGCTGCAGCTCCTGGAGTGGTTGCTGGTTCTGGCCAAGTTAGGACTTGGTCCGGTGGACGCATGTCCTTTTGGATCAGTGTGTCTCATTCAGCAAAATCAAGTGCTGCCATGTTAAACGACGGTATCTTCAGTCAGAGGCTTCTCCAGAGCCACTGTAAGACAGACCACTGCAGGAGATCCTCTTAGCATCAACTTCTACATAACGTTTGTTGAAAAAACTAACTAACTAGACATTTAATGTTCTCTTGAAGCTAGTGTTGAGTTGAACACAAAAGAGGAACCAGCATTTCCAACGCATGGTTTCCAACCATGCTGCTTCTAGTTTGGCGCCTATAGGCGCACCTTTGCATCGAGCGGTTGTTAAATGTTGCGGTTTCTGGACTGTGGAGTGGCAGTCTACCAACCATTGAAATAGGGTTTAACTGTAATAGAAAACAAACCAGACCCAAGCTGATACTATTGGAAAGGAGGCGGAGTCTGTCCTCCAACCAAAGCAGCCTCTCCTCTCCGATCAGATCTCCTATAATTGTTGATATCCTCTTCCTTCAGGTTCTGTCTTTGCAGCACGGTGGATCCAAAGACCCGTCTCAGTCCCAGTTTGCATCCTACTGGAAACCCATCCTCTCTATGGACACCAACTTCTGGCAGAGATGGTTTCACATGCACCGCATCGCTATCATCCTTGAACATGACTTGTAAGGAACAGTCTCTTTCTGTTCAAATGACTGAAACGGTGATACGGATCTATAGCTATAGGTTTATGTGGACATGTATGATTCACTAAGTTCAGAATCTCAACATCAAAGCGGTGCCATCTAAAGGCTAAACTAGGTAGAAGCTTAGATGAAGACTTGCCCTACATGGCTGATAAGGCTTAAAGGGGAACGCCGGGTTTTTTCCATTGGTCCTTGATTTTCCATTATTCCATCATGTTCTACTCTCCCATATGAGTTTAGTGTCATTTGGAGCCGTTCTGAAGATATTCTGTTAGGTTATATCCAGTAACGTCTTTCTATGTGCAACGACTTGAAGGCACAAACTGAACTAGGGCTGGGTATTTTCGCCAAAGTCCTGAATCGATTCGATTTTGATTCATGCAGTTCTAAATCGATTAATTGCGATTCGATCTGTTTTTACAATAGTGAAAGTGGTTCAACTGTGTTTCAAAATACTCATGTATTTTATTTTTTTCCGGTCATATTAAACACAAGGTGCAAACTTGTAAATCGGACAGTTTAAACTTGAGATGTGAATAAAACTGTCTCAAAAGTGCAAACTTGTTTGTGAAAAGTGAAAAAGTGAAGCCTCACTCGTGCAAGCAGACGTGACACAGCAGACATGCATGAGCTGCATTATCTTCACAGCACAAACTATATTTGCAGCGTTGTCTGTAACAACTACAGTGTGTTTGCTGCTCAGCCCCCATGTCTTCAGTCAACCTATTGGCTATATTTGAAGTCATCTTGAGTGCATCTTTCCTGTTCATTTGAATGTGAATGTTACGCTCGTCACTATAAAACTAATTGATTTCATTCCCTAGACATCGATTCTGCAAAAATGTAAAGGAATCGATTCGATATCGATTAAATCGATTTTTTTTACCCAGCCCTAAACTAAACTGTTCATCATTTATTCTTTATGGTACGCCAGCATTCAGAACATGGAGGCCAATCACTGTCCCCCAGGCGTCCGCCGTTAGATTTTTATATTTCTATCTTTTAAAAACAAAGCAGTGCATGTATGACTGATGCCATCCGCGTGTTATTTAACCAATGTGTATTACACCAGGCGGCTATGCTCTACCTCTTATGTATATTCGGCGAGTTAATCTAAATCGTTCAATTCCATTTGCAGAGCGAGATCATCTGTGGTAGCAGCACTAGACATCTTCCAGGCATGTGAGGAAAACTAGCAGCAGTTCAGCAGACAGGATGAATGAACGGTAGCCGGCGCGCGCGGATGACGTCACACACACTCCGCTTTGTTTTAAAAGATAGAAATATAAAAATTAAACTGTGGATGTCTGGGGGACAGTGATTGGCCTCCATGTTCTGAATGCTGGCGTACCATAAAGAATAAATGATGAACAGTTTAGTTTGTGCCTTCAAGTCGTTGCCCATAGGAAGACGTTACCTGGATATAACCTAACGGAATATCTTCAGAACGGCTCCAAATGACACTAACCTCATATGGGTGAGTAGAACATGATGCAGTAACGGAAAATCAAGGGTCCAATGTGAAAAAACGGTGTTCCCCTTTAAGGGCTGGTTATACTCCTGCAGCAGTGTGTCGCAGTGAGCTTGACGCGGACATTTTGATTTATGCTCAATATTGAAGCGTGGTCTGCGCTATACGCTGTGGGTCTAGATACGGCCGAGGCGGCGAGGAAGTGGGGGCGAATTTAGTCCAACAACGGAGGGACATGACAGCGAAAAAGAGCGGGGATCCAGGTGGAAAAAGGGTCCCAGCGTTCTCGCGCACCTCGATCTTCTAGCTGGTCCAACTTCACGATTTGTTTCGGTCATAAGAACAAAACAACCTCCTGTCTGCGGTCAGTCACAATTTGGGAGACGTGCAGCGGAGTGTCTGTGAAGGGGGCGGGGACGGCTTTTTGTTCACTGCGACACCTACACAGCAGACCTGGTTTCGAAGTATAAATCAGCCTTTAGATCTACAACAAGTAGAAGGACTGTTCCTCTAATCAGTTTGTCAATTACTTCATAACCATTGCTTTTAGTCAACCTGCACAGGACATCATTCATCCGCTTTTTGCATCTCTAGATAAGTGTAAGGAATCTATTTCAGTTCAATTCAGTTTATTTATATAGTGCTAATTCACAACACAAGTCACCTCAGGGCACTTTACAGTACAACCAGATCATACAGTCAAATTGAGGTCATGATAATCTCTGTCTGGGTTCTGTTCTATCATTCCTACAGGCAGAGAAGGGATAGGACAACCCATCAGAATCAGAAAATTCTCTTGCCTGTTTTACATGTAGCTGGGATTAGATTTGGTGGTGAGATGCTACCCATAGACAAGTACAACATACAGGTGGCAGCCGCAATCGTAGCTACTGTCCTCTGGTGCATGGAGGTGTACAGTTCTTCAAAAGAAGGAGCATTGCAGCCAATCAGCATCTCTGCAGAGTCAATGATCCATTGCAGCCTGACCTGGTCGCTGCTGGAGGAAGCAGCTACTTGACAGTGAGGAGGAGAGGATGGACTAGACGGTGATGGTGGAGTAGAACGTCACCATCATTGTGGATAGCTCACATTGCAGCTTCTACCTCCTGTTCCTTCAGTTTTTGTAGGATCAACAGTAGAACTCTATCTGGACACCCTTCAGCCTCAAACGCCATGGCACTGCAGACAGGCACGTTAATAATCCTTGTTTAGTTATGACTCCCGGAATAGGACTAGGAAAACAAAGGTTACTAAGGTCTTGAACAGCTGAATCTCTGGTATAGAACCTAAAACATCTGAAGCCGAGCAGAGTAGAAAAGAAGAAATAATGGATCGTTGTTGGACTCAGCAAGGTTTGCTGTGTTTATATATGCTCTGTCACTCAAAGGATTGTGGGAAATCATACAGCTCCAAGCGGCAGCTAGAAATGCTTGGATCTCTCTATGCTAGCTGCAATGAAGCTACCTCTTTCCTCGCTGCCACTCTTAGTACTATTTCAGCGACCAGGGAGGGACTTTTGCTGTGGCTGAAGTGCCCTTACCAGTTTGAGGTCGAGTTATTTTCTGTGGCAAGCTGTGCTTCTGCAACTGCCACATAAATTAATTCCTCCGTTTTAGGTGAAGGGGTGAAGTTCACCTCCCATCCAGGAAGTGAAAGAACTTCATGGTGGACCTAGCCAACTGGTAAGAGTCAAAGGGGTGACTGGTTCTAGATGAAGGGGGCATGGGGATGGCGACTTGTTGAGTGTCTGTAGCACTGGTTAAACTCATTTGCAGGTCAAGAGATGTTGATGGAGATGGGGGTCCTGGGCTTGTAATTTCGGATGTGTTGGAACCCCTTGTCAAATTGCTGTGGCGTTGTTAGGGGGAGAACTGTTCTTAAGATCTCACACCTCCTGCACTTTAATAACCTGAACAAGTCCGCCCCCACTCCATTCCTCCTCCCTTTTCACAGTTAGCTGTTGTAGTTTAACTGTGAACTAGGGCTCATTGTCGTTTGAACTCGACCTGCTGCGAGTAGCAGTCCCGTGTTTAAGCTTTATGTATCTACGTAGATCTTGATCGCGAAAGTAGGTAGTAGGAATGTAGGTAGAATGGGGCTAAGTCTACATGCCTCTCTGTCGCCTCACTCTCTCTGTGCTCTCTGTCCTCCCATTCTTTGGTCTCTGTGGTCTCACTCTGTCGTCTCCTCTGGTGCCTCACTCTTTCTCTCTGTCGGTCCTCTAACTCTGTCCTCTCACTCCGTGGTCTCTGTGGTCTCACTCTGGCGTCTCTCTGTCGTCTCTTTGTCGTCTCCCTCTGTCGTCTTTCTGTTGTCTCACTCTGGCCTCTTAATCTGGCGTCTCACTCTGTCTTTCTCTGGTCTCTCTGCTTCATGTTGTGGAAATGAATCTGAGTCCTAAAGTTCTTTCCTTGTTTGCAGTGTTCCTGGTTTTGTTCTTTTTAGTCATCCTCACTAACCCTCCCCCCTGCCCCCCCAGGCCTGTCCCTAAACATCTGCACACAGCTGGTAACAACGGCCGCTACAGCACCATCCAGTGCCGGATCTCCCACTCTGCCCTCACATCCCTGTTGAGGGACTGCAGCAGCTTTGTGTTGGTAGAAGGTTACTCTTACGTGAAGCTCATTTACAGGTGAAGAAAATGTTTCTGTCCTTCCAATGAAACCAGGTCCTTGTTCTTCAGGACATAATGCCGACTCTCTCAACTTTGTCTCTGTAGTCAGTCGGATCAGGTCCCCTCGTCGTTTTACCTGGTACGCCTGATCTCCAAGACTCCCTGCATGGTTCTGCGTCTGGGCTTCCCTATTGGGACACCGGCGAGCATTCGAAACAAGGTACTCAAAGAAAGAAGCGGTTTTTAACTGGTTCTTGGAAGGAACCAGTTAAGAACTATTCCTGATGCCAGTAAACTAGCTTCAACAGAAGACTTAGAGCAACATTTCCGAGAAAAAGAATAACGAAAGTTATGTATGTAAGTACGGTTCTATGAATCCCGGATGACCGTCAGAGGGCGGTGCAGAAAGCACTGAATGTTCCCTTCGGGCATGCGCAGTTTGAGTAATTATACCTACAGAGTCATACCTGTGAGAGCGGATGACCACTCAGAGGCTATATAGCCTGGTGTCATCCTTTGCTCTGTTCCTACAGAATCTTCTCACAAAAGCAAGAATTCTGAGTGACAGAGAAGCTCTGGCGGTCATCCGGGATTCATAGAACCGTAGTTACATACATAACTTTCGTTCTATTTCATCCCTACTGACCTCCAGAGGGCGGTACTGAAAGCACTGAATGACTAATGTCAACGATGTCACAAGGAATCCTGAGCACATACCTCAAAGAGAAGGCCTAACAGAACCTTGTAAAAGGACCTGACCCTGGATGAGGTGCAGCCACATTGACATTGTAGAACCTGGTGAAGGTGGTCGGGGAAGCCCATGAAGCAGCAGCATATATTGCTTCCAGTGGGACCCCTCTCAAAGCCGCCCAGGAAGCAAAGATGCTCCTGGTGGAATGTGCCCTCACACTGACTGGCAGGGAGCAGTGACCTGCAGCATAGGCATGGCAGACCATAGCCATCAGGAAAGCAGTCTTGCAGGAAAGCCACTTGAGTTCTGCTTGTGCCAAAGGCTCAAACGGAGGGTGGCACGGAGCTGCGAGAACCAACGGCAGATCCCAATCTGACATTGTGCAGCCGGCCACAGGCGTAACCTACGAGCACCACGCAGAAAAAGAGAAATCAGTTCATGGTGCCCCAGTGTACGGTTGTTGACAGATAGGTGAAGACATGAGACCAGGTTCTCATTATGGGCAGAGCACCACTGAGAAAAGAGGCACCGTCTGTTATCAGACTGTAGCCGAGTGGATGGCCCCCTAGCACTCAATATGGTGTGTCTCACGGTGTCTAAACACGCAGTCAGCCTCCCAGGGGCCATGCCCACAGCTGGAGATGTTGAGGGTTGGGGTGCCATATCTGTCCTCCCAACTGAGACAGCAGATCCCTCCTTGCTGACTAAGAAAGTAGAGCACATCACCCCAGTTCTAAAGTCCTTACACTGGCTCACCGTATTTTAGAGAATAGACTTTAAAATACTTCTGTTAGTCTATAAATCTCTGAATGGCTTAGCGAGTTCCAGTTCAAAACAAAATAGCACCAGGCTGTAGGTAAAATGGTAAGAAAAAGCCATAAGCCGGGAGAGGGGGCGCGGAACTTACCTTCCGTAATCTTCGTCGCAGCCCTGGGAGGGTGGAGAATACTCCAGTCAGCAAGAGACAGGGGCATTAAACAATGGGGAAGCTAGCGAACTGCTTGCGAGAAGGAAAAAAGGAACAAAGCAAAGGATGACACCAGGCTATATAGCTTCTGAGTGGTCATCCGGTGTCACAGGTGTGACTCTGTTGGTATAATTTCTCGAACTGCGCATGCCCAAAGGGAACATTCAGTGCTTTCAGCACCGCCCTCTGACGGTCAGTAGGGATTCATAGAACCATAGTTACATACGTAACTTTCAATTACTGCTGAGGGAATAACAAAAGAAGACGTTAGCTAAGCTAGTGAAATGTTAGCCGACTAATGCTGTAAGTGTCTGTTAGCTGCTTAGAAAAAGAGCTTATGGCTAGCAGATGCAAGGGAACCCTCTGCCCTATTCCAATATTGTTTCAGGCCAACATTATTTATTGAAATAAAGTTTTCATAACTTTATAGATAAGAATCAAATATGTTAGCATTTGGTAGCTAACATGAGGTCAGCATGTGGTGGCTATTAACGTATGTGGTTCAGCTTTCAGAACGTAGTAAACTCATGAAATGATCAAAAACCCCAGTGCTGTTAAGCTGTACCGTTTCCCTGTGACTTTCGGATCTAATGCCTATATAAATCTGTTCTGAGAAAGCTGAGGTGTTTCCAGCTGTGTTCATCCACGTTTATATTCATCAGAAATAATGAACTGCTCTCCACTTTGGATCAGGAAGGAAGAGGGGTTTTAGAGCCATCTGTACCAACCACTCTTCTTCTCTAATCAGATTGTAGAAGAGCTGCGGGAGCAGATCCTAAAGCTTCGCTTCCCTCACCGTGTTCAGAGCAAGGAAGCAACTCCAAAGACCAAGAGGAAGACGGGGGGACATGTGTCTCCATCTAAAGCCCCCTTGGTTCAAGTGACCAAGCCTGCCCTGTCTGACAGACCTTGTGTGGTGCTCCTCAATAAGCCTCTGGAGAAGTTGCTTATAAGGTGAGTGTGGCTGATACAGCAGATGCCTCCAGAGGAGCTGTCTAAATGTGTTTCTGGCTTACAGGTATGACAAGCTGCCGCTGGACTTCAGGACTCCCTTCATCTTCAGCATGGAGAATTTCCCGGTGCCTTTTAACAGCACTGTGCCTCTTAGCATAGCAGCCAACCGGACAGCCTCCTCCACCCTGGCCTCGCTGTCGCGCTACTTCCTCCACAGGCGCTGGGTGTGGGCCGTGCAGAGCAGCCAGGGGGCAGCGGTGACCACGCAGGCCATCGCTCACATCCTTTCCATGCTCTCAGAGTAAGTTTGACTGACAATGCTTTGCTTATTGCTTAAACATCGTTAGAAGCTTTCATTACGATGAGTGATTGTTATGTTGGAGACCAGGTGGATTCGGTCTCCTCCAAAACCAAACGTTCAGAATCACACCCCATTTATTATTGAGGCATGAAGACGTTTTTCTCCCAGTGGACCCAGCTCAACACACCTATCCCTGGCTGGCTTCACTCACAGGCAACTTCTGATCCAGTGACCTTTATACCAACTTCCAGGATGTACCCATGTACAGTACCGAGATCTGGAAAGGTTAGAGCCGATTCCTTCCAGGATCCAGCCATGACCTCATGACCTGACAGTACGAGATCTGGAAAAGG